AAAAAAAAATTGCATTGCATTTTGCATAACCTTGTCTTGATAGGTAATTATTCCGTGCGAAGGTTGACCGTGCATGTACTGAAGCCATGTCCTAAGCAGCTACACAAAAGTATTCGTGTCGTCATTCGATATCAAACCACAACCAAGAAGTGTTGATTGGTCGTGATGTTTTACACCAACAAAAGGGGCAAAAGGCATGTCATACATATTTGAGAGGTAAGTGGTATTAAATGTGCTAATATCCTTGAACTTCTTATAAAGCGCCTACACCGATAGTCCGCCCAAAACTCTTTAGTCGCGATTAGTTGTCCAAATCCATAATAAAGTAAAAGTCCGAGCATCTCGCTGGAATTTCTGAAAAATATGATTGCATTGTTGCGGCATTTCCTTCTCCAAGTCTTAGTCACCGCACTTGTTCAATATAGTTCCAACAATCCTTTCCCATGCATGTAATGTTCTTATACACATCTGCTTCAACAATTGCAGAGTTAAAACTTTTGTATAACGAAATTCCTGCCATACCATTAACTTCAAGCTTCTGCTTCACATGTGCACTAAATTCTCTGTTGCAATGATACAATCTAGATTTTGAAGGACATGTTTTATGATTGTGCTTGATATGCAGAGATCCTCGCTTTACAACCTGTCTGAATTGTTGGTTGCGGTGAACTTCTTGTATTACCACTTCGTCGACTTTTACGGTTACATGTCAACGTCACATATCTCAAAAACCCATCCTCATCCTTTTTCTAATCCCATTTTTGAACAGGAAAGCCAATAGCATGAGCATATCTTTTATAAAAGTCAAATACTTCTTTTTCATCATTGAACTTTATACCCACTTCAAGCACAATTGGATCATCTTCTCCAAACGTTTCATCATCCACTATGATCATAGTGTCATCCACATTCTCATTATCGGATTCCACCAACAACTTATCAAATTCTACCATAATTTTAGCTTCCATGGCAAAATAAGCCATCATACCGTCACAAGTGAAAAAACACCAAAAATGATTGCAAATCTCTTTATCTTGTGAATGGACACGAAACAGTAAATGATGTAAAAGAGAAAGCAATGCGTGGACGAATTAAGGAAAAAGATGAGAGAAATAAAAACTACTTAAAGCACTTTCGATTTGTATGTTAACTAGATGTCTCCTAATAATATATGCTTGGACAGGGAAAATGTTTATTTGTGTTTGAAAGCAAGTAAAAGTTACTTATTTGCCAATCATGATTTTGAAAGCTACTACATTAAGCATTGACAAAGATCATGTAGAAAACAATGATGTTATCTGAAGGCAGGTATATATAAACATTTCAAATTCCGCTCTTGAGAGAGAAAGCAATTCATTCACCATGTGACGACGAAAATAAATTGAGAGCATTTTTAACATGAATTATGTCACTTTATATTATGTTAGGATGTATACAAATCAAGAACACCGAAATAAAGACATATTAACAGTGTCACAAAAATGATCTAATTGCGTGAAGACCAACTAGTTCATTCATGGCTCAAAATCCAGTCCGAAATTGTCAATAAAACATTTTATTAAATGGCATTATCAATAACCTTAGCACCTACATACTTAACCAAGATGAAAACCAACCAAAACATGCATATGATGAGATTAAAGAACACTGAACCATGAACTGCTAGCTTCTTCGTAATAGCATAAATTACTAAAAGTAAATGAAATAAATAATTTAAACAAACATCAGAATATAGAAAGTTTACATATTGCTGCTTAGCTTTTAAATCTTTGCTAAAATCAATGTCCGGCTCGCAATCGAGAACCAAGGCCGAAACCTGCTCATTACTAAACAAAGATAAATCAAAGGCTTGCTCATCAAATAAATCACCTTGAAAGAAATGACATTTAGGCATAATTCCTTTTGAATGCTTGAATGAATATGATCACCATCCAAATAATAGACACGATCCCTTATATATGGACGCAAGTTTAAAAAATTTATCTATAAAAAAGTTCAAATACCTTCCTATGTAAAAGACTCGATTGACACTCTGTTTAGCTTGGAAAATTCAATGTTCACAGTGGCAAAGACGTGAGAAGTGCTATGAGAAGACTTATGTAATGGACCCGATTAAATTATAAAAATTGGTCGACCAAAATCATAGGCTTGAGCAGTAGCCAACATGAGGAAACGAGATTTCATCGTCGATATGCATACTTGTGAAATGGAGGCAATAGAGGTCAAGATTTCACCATCAGTATGCATATTTGTAAAAAAGAAGCAACAATTTGTCCAACGTGTATTTACCTTGGGTTAACATTTCAACCTTTTCAAAATTTTGTAATGTACATTGTCAACAAGTGATTGTACAATGAGCATTATTCCAAAAATTAACTGAATAATCATTGAGATACAGTTTCAGTTTAATTACTAAATAATAAGACTTCGTATAATTCAATAACCGTTCATATAATAAACCCATCAATAGTCATATCAAACAACAAATTCACTTCATTACCAGAAAAATCTACATTCCACATTACCTAATTTGATTACCAACATAATAGAACAGTAATTACGCTAAAAACAAAGAGCAAAACCTAAAAGATTCAGATTGTTTTCTTCTTTTCTTGACAGCAAGACTTTTGCTTAACAAGGAACAAAAGTCCATGACATATCTTCTACCCACCAAAACCATAAAGAGTCCTGCCTTGCCTCTTCAAAGCATAAACAACATCCATGGCGGTCACAGTCTTTCTTCTAGCGTGCTCAGTGTAGGTGACAGCATCACGGATCACATTTTCCAAGAAAATCTTGAGAACTCCACGAGTTTCTTCATATATTAACCCAGAAATGCGCTTAACGCCACCCCTTCTGGCCAGCCGGCGAATGGCGGGCTTTGTTATACCCTGGATGTTATCACGGAGGACTTTTCTGTGCCTCTTTGCTCCTCCTTTGCCTAATCCCTTTCCTCCCTTGCCACGGCCCGACATTGCGAATTCAAGATTTAGTTTTTACTGCAATTGAAAATTTCAGAAGACAGATTAATCAATACAGAACTAATATAACATTTAGACTTTATAACAATAACAAATTTTGCACAAACCTTAGAAACGAAGAGTCGGAAGAGATGATAGTGATGAGATGATAATGGAGAACAGGGTGGGGTTATTTAAGCGTGAATGGGGGATTTGGGAAGTGAGGGATTGATCCGGGGGAATAGTTGTGGGGTATATTATTGCCGTTGATTAACATCTATGGACGGTTAAGATGAGGATTCGAGTGTTACAATGATCGATGACGTGGCAAGTTAGAATTTTTTAGCTTTTTGGTATCAAGATGAGCGGGATAATTAAAACTTAAAAATAATGGGTAAAAATTGGGAGGGAACTTTTTATTTTTAAGTTTGGGTAATAATTGTGTAGTGGGGCTGGGGTTGGGTCGGGGTTGGTGGAAAGGCCTTGATCCAACTTAGATGTTCCATTCTTCTTATTTTCTTCAACTTGAACTATAGGTTTTAAGGATGACAAAAATATCTGCACCTGAACGGGGAGGGGTGGGGCGTAACTCCCCGCCCCATGAAGAGAAAAAATAAAACAAATAAATAATAAATAATTATAAAAAAATAAACTGGACAAGCCGATGCCCCACCCCGCCCCCTCTATGGTGAGGTAGAGCAGGACACCGTTGCCCTGCACCATTGCCTCATTTTTATATTCAATATTTTTCGAGTGATTCTCAAATATTATCTATCTATTCATCATTCATTTTTATCAATTTAAACTATGAGTATTTATAAACACTTCACAAATATGCTTATAATTTTTTTACGAGACAAGAATGTTTTATCATGGACTATAACACAATTTTTAAACGCTGATGCTTGATTTGTATTGTGATGCTTTTGAGATAATCAACTCTTGTTGCATTGAAGAATGAATAAGTTGAGGAAAAAATCAATTAAGCCTTTGGTAAACTTTGTTTTAAAATAAAAACAAATTACTGTATAAAAAATCAATTAAGCCTTTGGTAAACTTTGTTTTAAAATAAAAACAAATTACTGTATAAAAAATCAATTAAGCCTTTGGTAAACTTTGTTTTAAAATAAAAACAAATTACTGTATAAAAAATCAATTAAGCCTTTGGTAAACTTTGTTTTAAAATAAAAACAAATTACTGTATATTTCAAAATCAACATTTTAGCATTCGATAAACAAAAGTAATTTATTACTGTCCTAGTATACAATTACTAAAATGGACGTTGGATGATACCCCTTTATATTATTATCATCGATATTAATATAATTTTTTTAATAATTAAAAAAATTACTTTTAGTTTTATAAATTATGCGATACTATCAAATATTTTTCTAAGACAATACACTTACTGTAATTATATTAAAATGAAAAATAGTATCTATTAATAAACCTTAAATTTATAAAACTACAAAATAAAAAGCATAGTTAATATAATAGAAAAATATTTAAAAAAAATTTAAATTACAATCAATGCATCACTCAATTTCGTTGCTCAATTTATTTTGAATATTAATAAACATTGGGAGAAATAAGCGATAAAAATGATATGTTAATTACAAATTGTTGGAGAAGTTAAAAACAAAATTTGAAAATCTATCATTTCAATGCTTCTCAAAATTTACAATTAGATGGCAAATATTCTTATATAATCGGTTTTTAAAATTTTAGAAATCACATAAAATAACCTCTTATTGTTGGAAAATCAGAAGTTGAACTCTAAAATCAATCACAAATTGGAACTAAGATTTGTCGTTGGTTGGTTGTTATTCAAATTGTTTGCATGCATACCAAGCATAATATGTGCACAAATATGGCATGAGAAATTACTCTTATAAATATCTCAATTTAGCATAGTTGTTGACTTGATTTCTATGATGAAATTGCATTTATGTTTTGCATATAATTGGAATGTCATTGCTCTGCTTGTGTGTTGTATTTAGCTTGTGATGTGTGGACTAGTCTGTTCTCATTACAAACAATTTATATGTAAAAACTGAAAATCATCCATGTGAAGTAATGTTAAGTGATTAAATAATATTAATTGTCCATATTGCAGTTGTATTTTATGCGCAATAATAAAGAGAAGAAAGAGAAAAATCAACATGAGAATTTATGTGGTTCGATAGTGTGCCTATGTCCACAAGAGTGAAGATGAGAAAATTGTATTCGATATGAAAAATAGGATTACAACATTATTATTTATAATAAAGCTAGCTCAATCCCATACAAGACTATAAGGTCAGTACAAGAAAATACCTCTGTACTGTACCGCCATTCAGTGTCCTTGGCAACCAAACAATAAATTAAACTCGCCATTCCGTTCGATGCGCTATGCTTTGGTTAAAACGAAAAATAGTATCTATTAATAAACCTTGAATTTATAAAACTACTTAATAAAAGCATAGTTAATATAGTGGAAAAATATTTAAATAAATTTTAATTACAATCAATGCATCACTCAATTTAGTTTCTCAATTTATTTTGAATATCAATAAACACTGGGAGAAACACTACTAAAAAACAGTTTTTCACCTACAGAAAATTATCAACGGATTGCATCCATTGGTGATTAGAAACGGATTATCTATTGGTAAAAGTAATTCACTTTTAGCTACGATAATTAACAACGAATTTTCCGCTGGTAAAGATGATATCTCTTTACCAACCGATATTCCATACCCAATGTAATCGTTTAACATTTGGATCTTCCTCCAACAGCTATTCCGTAGGTGATGTACCGAATATTACCAATGGATTGCATTCATTGGTAATTAGAACGGGTTATCCGTTGGTAAAAGTAATTCACTTTTAGCTACAATAATTAACAACCGATTTTTCGTTGGTAAAGATGATATCCCTTTACCAACGGATATTCCATGTCTAATATAACCTTTTAATAGTTTGATATTTTACCTACGGATATTCCGTTGGTAATTAGAAACAAATTATCCTTTAGTAAAAATGATATCTCTTTACCAACGGATATTCCGTGTCTAATATAACTATTTAACATTTTGATCTTTCAGTAACAGATATTTCGTTAGTAATTAGAAACGGATTATCCGTTGATAAAAATAATTCACTTGTCCCACATTAGAAGTTTACAACAATATTTTTGTAGTTGCCCTCTATAAATTTGTGGTCCAATGAGGAGTTAAACAATATTTTGGCCTTTCAATTCAGTTGGCTAAAAATAAAAAAATATATATATTATAATTATTAAATAAATAATAATAAATAAATAAATAACTTTTTTACCATACGATTATTTACAACATTGATTTTTACCAATTGTAATGATAGACATTTACCAACGAAAAGTCGGTTGGTATTGGTTAAGATTTTTACCAACGAAAATTTCGTTGGTAAAAGATTCATACTTTACCAACGAAAAATCCGTTGGTAAAATGTTTACTCTTTACTTACAGCATGATCCATTGGTAACTATCAGCGACCCTCAAATTATCAACGGATTTGTAGTTACAAATATTCCGTTGCTGAAAATTATTAGCAACGGATATTGAGGCTTTAGGAGCGGAAAATCCGTACTTGAAACTCTGTTTTTTAGTATTGAAATAATTAGCTAGGAATAAAATTGGTATGTTAATTACAAATCGTTGGAGAAAAACGGAATTTGAAAATCTTGTAGGAGAAATTGTTACCGTAAAATCACCAGATTTTCATGTTGGATCATCAAGAAATACATGAATTATAGTGAAAGCGTACCTAAATTAGACATAGTTAATTTAATAATAGAATCTTACTAGTCATTCCAAATCAACACGTAGCCCGTAATTTTCTCTGACTATGGGAGATAGAATAGAATGAGCAATGCACGCGTGATTTGGGGATCATAATCATATTTATATAGTGATACCTTTTAATCTAATTCGACCCATCATTGAATTAGGAACTCAGGCCCAGTCTCTACATATAAAAGACCCACACTTTAATTGGATATATTAAGATCCAAAATACCGAAATCTTATTGGATCACTTTTAAATGACTTTAATCGAATTTGATAGCTTTTAATTTAATACATACTAATTTACACATATAAGCTCATATGATCGATTTAAAAATTCCTTACNGTAATTAAATCTATCAATGGTCACGTATATCACTATAATTGAATGACATGGAATAAGCATGCATGTGTAGTATGAAAATTACATGTGATGTGATTTCTATCAAGCTTATTTCCAATTGATCCACATCAAAACTTTAGTGAGATCATTTTAAATAAGTTTAGGGATAATAAACTAAATAAACTATATAACTGAAAATAACTTTAACCGTAAACCATATCCAAAATAATAGTACACATGTCCAATATGAAAGGCAAAAATACAAACTCTCATTGAAATTAAATATTTTTAAGAGACATTACCCCCATATGAGCAGTGTGCTCATGAAAGACCTAGGGTATTAATCTCTAGTAAGTGGATCCGCAACCATGGAGTTTTTTCAATATGCTCTATGGACACCTGTCTACTCAGAGCTCTTTCTTTAATAGCTAGGAATTTGATCTCCATATGTTTCGACTTCGTCGAGACGAAAGAGAGAAATCAATACAAGAATTTACGTGGTTCGACAGTGTGCCTATGTCCACAACAGCAAAGCTAAAAAAAATTTTATTCAGTATGAAAAATAGAGTTACAATATTATTATTTATACTAATCCTAGCCTAAACTCATACAAAACTTTAATGCTCGTACAAGAAAATATCTCTGTACCGTACTGTCATTCAGCTTCCCCAGCAACCAGACAATAAATTAAACCCGCACAAGCCGATGTCGTAGCTCTGCTCCATTTCGTTCAGTGTGCTACGCTCCCCTTACTCTACTCCGCTCCGCTCCGGCATTGACCTATTTGATTCAGGGAATTTGTGTTCCACTCTATATTAGCCACATACACAATAATCTCCACCTTGGTGAATATTCACCCTTTAGAAGAAAACACAAAAAACATAAACTGGGAAACCACAATGTCTAGGCTCAATGGGTTGGGACACATCCTCTCTAACACATGGAGATATTAATTAATGGTTGAACCTATCAATTGTGATTGGCTTTGTCATTATCTGTGCTGCATTCTCTGAGGTATGCATCTTCTCTAATAACAGCTCTCTCAAAGTAATCAACTCTCTTATCTTGTAA